GTCGCCTTGAACTTCAGTTGACTCTCCCCGTCGACTCCTTCAGCGTCGTGCTTTTTGTGTTACCCATTTTTGCTTTTCACCCACGTTTAAATCTGCAACTTTTGCCTGTCCCTTTGCGACTGCCTTTGCAACCTGACACCTGTTCGGTGTATTTTTTTTTAAGGGTCTATATTTTTTAAACTTGAAACTACAAAATTTAAAGGGCAACCAACGTCTAAAGACTAATGACCCTGCTCTGATTTAATTAATAGTGGGCTTAGAGAGTAATAGTATTTTGAATATACGTTAAGATTCTCGTTTTTTCTCTAGCAAAGTGCCTATAATGATTTAAGTACAGTGGACCATTTGCTCATGTACAAATTAACTGCATTAGGGGTAGATTAATAAAACAGCTCGATATAAAATTCATAGTTTATAGGGGAAACAATGCACGCATGTCTCAACATAACTGGTTAATACAATTAGTAATCGAATGTGGGTCAGAAGTGCAATTTGGGATATATTTGAGTTCTTGTAAATTTATTTTTGATAGTTTTTATAAATGCCATTATTTGTGATTGTTATGCAATCTAAAAACTGCCTTTTACATTTTTTGATTTTCTTAGGTAGGTTCAATTTCTAGATTTTGGTAGACTAACTTTTAGATGATATGTAGCTCCTTAACAACGAGGATACTTCTGGGAAAGGTCTTGCCTGACCCCAGAGGCGGAACTTATACAGGTAGTATGATGAGCGCTCCATTAAATGAAAATCACTGTATTGTATAACAATTATAGGTCTTGGTACCTTTTAGATGTAAGCTGCCTCACCATCTTCAGTTACTCCTCGCTTCTTTTGCAGATAATCTTCTGTTCAGTGATGAAATTATCACTAATGGCTTCCATTCCTGTGAAAGTGATGAGGATGATAGAGCCTCACATGCAAGCTCTAGTGACTGGACTCCCAGGCCACGGATAGGTATGATTTCAAAGCTGTGCAGCTTGAGAGACTAAGTGCTTTTTATTTTACGTGAACGAAAAATTTAATTCGCGATCCCCCTAAGACCTGATGCCGGGGTTATTGTGAGTTATGTAAGACTCCTTGTCAGCACTGGGATCATTTGAAGGTCTGTGGATGGTGCAGATGGTTTGTACTCATGTAACTAACCGTGTGAAACTACCCGGTGACTACAAGGAAGAAAGACCTAGCGAGTTGCATCTTTAGAGAGGACAGCCAAGAAAAAAAACATAATGTGGCTCGGTTCCACTCTGAAACACCTGGGGTCGCCATTAGTCAGAATCAAACTTGGGACAGTTTGGGGGAAGTCTAGTTTTGTTTTGTTTCTGAAAAGCTGGCCTCTTAGCTGTTTTTTTTTCTCTTTGCTGTTTTCTCTTACAGTCAAGTGTTTTTCACTCCTCAGGCCCTTTGCACTTGGACCCTCTTTTTGGAATTGGCTTCCTCCATATATAGAGTGCCTTGCTTCTCTCACTTCTTTAGCCCTTACTCAAAAAAAAACCAAAACCCACTGCAATCAGGTTAATTACAAGTCATACTGACCCTATGTGCTCTTGCAGGAGCAAGCAGGTTCGTCTTTCTCCTAAGAAGTGACTGGTGGGTGGAGGCATCTCTTGTGATCAGGAACTCAGTGCCACCAGGGCTCGTTAGTAAGGCAGACATGATGTACCATCTATACTCCTGTCAGCTGTACGACAGCCCAGCCAAACCTCTTCATAGCTCCACTTCCTTTTGTTAATATCAATTCAAAGATTACTTGTGGAAAAAATGTAAAAGTTAGTAGCTGTAAAATTTCTTTTTCTCATATGTCCTCAGTGATAAATATTATGGTGTTTTAGGACTGGTCTTGACAGCAACTAATGAGATCTTTTTTATACTGATTTGTAGTACTCTTTTGTAAATGATTTTAATAATCTCACTTTCTAGATTTTAACCATTAAAAAAATAATTCTGGTAGTGTTAGTTAGTTTGACTCTTATAGACTTGGTATTGCATAGCCAAAGGCGCCAGAATAATTCGTGGTTAAGTCTCTGATTTCTTGTGGAGTCCATTTGCCTTGGATCTCATTGGGATTAGCATACCTCTGAAAATAACGAGAGAATGAAATATCTGTAAATTTCATTTTCTTAATTTGAAAACAAAAAACTTACAGATTATGTTAATTTGTTATTTCAGATAATAAGATTTTTGAATTACTTGGAATTGGATTTTATCTATTCCTTCTTACTCTTAATACAGGTCCATATACTTTTGTTCAACAACACCTCATGATTGGAACAGACCCTCGAACAATTCTAAAAGATTTACTACCAGAAACAATCCCTCCACCAGAATTGGATGATATGACGCTGTGGCAGATTGTTATCAATATCCTTTCAGAACCACCAAAAAGAAAAAAAAGGAAAGATATTAATACAATTGAAGATGCTGTGAAATTACTGCAGGAGTGCAAAAAAATCATAGTTTTAACTGGAGCTGGGGTATGTAAGACGTGTTAAACACTAAAATGCTTGGAGAGTATATTTTTATTTTTTTCCCCTCCCTCCCTCCTCCCCTATTCTTTTAAAAAAGGCTTTTCCAATTAAACAGTTTCCTGATTTGAACTTATCTTCTGCGTTTATGAGTGTATTTATGGGAAACTAATAAATTGTTTGTGTCAGAGCAATTGCTTAATTGTTTCAGATTTATTTTAAACCTCTCCAACAATATTTATAGGAAGCATTGTAGATAAGTGGAATTACAGTAAGAATTTTACTTGCATTATATTACAGGTCTTAAAAGGTGCCAGGGATTATCATTTGATTATCTTAAGGTGTGTCAAGCTCATGTGAAGAAATTGGCTGTTTGGTAGATCATCACTTAAACCAGGAACCTAACATATTCACAAATATGGAACTGAGTTATTTATACAAAATGTTATATTAAGGTAGTGACCAGAGCAACTGTTAAAATTAAATTCAGTCCTGCTTTGTGCCATTTTGAGTTATAGACTGAGTTATTTCATCCTGTTTACTCTTATATGAGCATCAATAATATCAATGTTTTGTTTTTAGGTATGTTTTAGAAAAATCCGTTTTACTCTGAGGTAGGTCTGAGAGGAGTTGACTCTGGCAAAACTTTAGAAATCCCTATTGGATGTGTTACAGTTTCTTTGTAGGTAAAAAAGATGCAGTGCATGAATCTAGTCTTAAAAAAATAAGAATTGGAATATTGTACAGTACAGTTTCAAAAGAAAGTGTAGAAATTTAATCTTGCTTTGGACTAGTAAAACCTTGACCAGATGACCCATTTTGGAGAAACTGGATTTATAATAAAAGCCTATGCCTGCTTTCTATTTAAAGTAATTGGTTGAAATTATTTACTCCTTTTGATCATACCCCACCCAATTACTTTAATTTGCTGATTAAATGCTTAAAATATTTACAATTTATCCTGAGTAAACTTAGTTCTATTGAAGACAGGAATGTATGGTAGGTTTCATTAGACTGTTTTATTTCTGTTAGAAATTTGGGTAAAGTAATATTTGTACTTCCTTTTTATTTTATTTTCGTATTTCCTAAAAGAAGTTTCAAACTAAAAGTTTCTTTTCATCTTCTGCCTAAGTATATGGAAGGAGAGCTAATAACTAATGGCGTGACATTGAATTGTACAAATTGTGCTGACTATCTCAGGTATCTGTCTCCTGTGGAATACCTGACTTCCGGTCAAGAGATGGCATTTATGCCCGCCTTGCAGTGGACTTCCCAGACCTTCCCGACCCTCAAGCAATGTTTGATATTGAATATTTCAGAAAGGATCCAAGACCATTCTTCAAGTTTGCAAAGGTAGTGATAACTTTCCTAGCTGTGTTTGCTCCCTTTCATGCAAAATATTTCAAGTATTGTAGCAAACCCACCGCTGTCAAGTCTAACTCACAGTGACCCTATGGGACAGAGTAGGACCTGCTACATTGGGTTTCTGAGACACACTTTTTACAGAAGCAGACTGTCTTCGTTCTCCTGTGGAGTGGCTGATGGGTTTGAATCATCGACCTTGAGGCCAACAGTCCACAGCACACTCAGTGCCAACAGGGCTCCTTTGTGCCACGTTTATAGTTCTTTTAAATTTAACACTCATTGTATAGTTACCTGGATATGAGTGCTATCGTGCAGTAAGATCAATGAATTTAAACATTTCGTGGCTATCAATTTTTCCCCAGAAGCAAGTATTATCTACTTCATTTAAGGATTGAGTTTATCTTCAAAGATACTGTATATTTTTCAAATATGCACTTCTATTAAGGCATTTATTTGATATTACTTGGGCTCAACCTGCCCCCGATTCATATTAAAACCTAAAACTCACTGCCATCAGGTAAGTGCCCGCTTACAGTGACTATATAGGATAGGATAGAGCTACCCTTGTGAGCTTTTGAGACTGTAATTTTATGGGAGTAGAAAGTACCACTTGCAGTTGGAAGCCCAAAGCATAACCACTAACACATTTTTTATTTTTAATAGTTTTTAGGGGCTATAAAAAGAGATGATAAAATCTGTTTTGTTATGAAGATTCTTCGGTTGCATGCTAGTTAGCAGGTTGTAGAGGAGCCTTTTCTGCGCTAGTGTCACATGCTACATTGTTCACTTCAGAAGCTACTTACTGAACCGATCATGATGATCAACACATAGCCAGACACCCACCTGCAGGGTGCAGGGGGAAGAACAATGGAAACCATGGGGGAAGGGAGACAGTGGTCGGTGTGAGATATGAAAATAATAATTTATAATCTATCAAGGAATCATGAGGGGGGGGGGGGGAGGGATGGGGAAAAAGGAGGAGCTGATAACCAAGGGCTCAATAGAAAATAAGTGTCTAGAAAATAGTGATGGTAACAAATGTACAAATACGCCTGATACAATTGATGTATGGATTGTAATAAAAATTTTAAGAGCCCTCAATCAAATGATCAAAAAAATAAATAAAAATAAAACCACAGACAAAAAGGAAGCAGCTATTTGTTAAGTATGAGTGCTGAGTATGTGAAATGTAGTGTAAGGAAAAAACCAGATTTTGAAAAATTAGTATGTAAAAATGTTCATAAATTTTGTGTTGATTATATATAGAAATAATACTTTAGAAACATTTTACCTGTTCATTCTTCTATTATTTACATTTTACCTGTTCTTCTAATATGGTTTGTAGAAATTTTAAAATTATGTATGGTTAGCACTGTTTTCTGTTGGATAGCACTGCTCTAGAATACAGAGGATTTTAATTATTTGAAAAACTTGTCTTTTACTATAGTTTTATGGAAAGAAAATTTAAAATTGCTATAGCTAGACTCCAGTATATGTACATACACACACACACACCCACACACACACACACACACACACACACACACATATATATCTGTATATATATATTGGGCTTTTTGTGTTAGTACTTTTTATTGAATCGAAATTAAATTAGTACACGTGAAATTTACAGTGTGACTTGATTTCTTCTCAAATCATATTATCTATTTACACAATTACAGGAAAAGCTCTGCTAATTCAGATCGGTGATTGTCTTTAAAGAAATCATTTACTTCTTTCAAGTACAGTTTATAAATAGCTATTAGAGTCAAGTTGAAAACAAAAACCTTTGAATATGTTTTATTAAAACTAAAAACTAAATGTGAGAAGTTCTCGATTAGTCTTTAAAGATGATTTCAATTTTTTCTAACAATTGAAACTTACTAAAATTTTGAACTTTTTACTTTATAAGTAACAGTGGTTGTCTTCTATATCTAGCTTTTAGTTTCACTTTTCTGCTCAGTATTTTGAAGAAAAGTGTTTTTAAGATACTCAGTACGTATTGGGGTTTTTATCTGACCATGGAATAGAAGCAGACATCTGGTTCCCACTTGGATTGAATAAATAACAAATAGTGGTGTCTGCATCCCTCCTCCCCCACACGATTATGAATCAGTGACGATTAATTGTTTTAACATACTGGTGCTGACAGTACTAATGACATGACCAGAAGGCCAATGAAATACCACTTTTGTTATACAGGATTTCAGAATTGGATATAGATAGCATGCTGGTATAAGCTAACTTTGTTGATAGGTGCTGTCCAGCCGGTTCCGACTCATAGTGACCCTATGTCTAACAGAATGGAAACACTGCCTGGTCCTGTATGGCCCTCATAATTGTGCTAGGTTTGAACCTGTTGTTGAAACCACTGTATTAGCCCATCTTGTGAAGGGTATTCCTCTTTCTCACTGTCATTCAACTTGACAAGGCATGGTGTCCTTTTCCAGGGTCTGGTCTCTCCTGATAACTTATCCAAGTATGAGACACCAAGTCTCCTCATCCTTCTTCCTCAAAGGAGCATTCTGCCTGTACTTAAAAAAAAAAAAGATTTTAATCATTTTATTGGTTTGTGTAGCTCTTACCACAATCCATACATAAGTCCATTGGGTCAAGCACATTTGTACATTTGTTACCATAATCATTTTCAAAACATTTTCTTTCTACTTGAGCTCTTGGTATCAGCTCCTAGTTTTTCTTCCATCCCTT